AATTCGTGCTTTTTTATATTTCCTTTACTCTTGCTCCAACTCCTGCCTTCTTTTCTAATCTGTCCTGCGACTTGTTCTTTTCTAATAATATTCATTTTAACATCTTATAAATTTTCTTACTGAAAATCCAAACACATCTAATGACAATCTTCCAAAAACTAATCTGACAATCAAAACTAAATTTTAAAATCTCACTACCATTGACGTCAGAATCCTAAGGCCAGATCACTTAACGATGCCAACATCATAATCCAGTCTTTCACAAGACGTTATAAAATTATTATATATTTTTAAAAAAATTGTAAAACTGCTGCAAACTTGAAGCAATATATATTTGTTGCATTATTTTCAACATTATATCAGATTTGCAACTTTTTCGAAAGTCCGGAACATGATTTTTTTTGTAAAATAGCATTTTTGTTTATATCATAGATAAAAAAATTGCAAAAGTGATGCAAACCAATGTCATAACTCATACAAGTTTTTGGAACAGCTATTCCAATTTGCAACCTTTTATTTTGCACAGAAATATATATTTTTTAAATAGCAAAATAATTCTTTATTTTCCTCTAATTTTGTCAAAAAATGCAAAAGTTTTGAAAATCGGTTGAAAATATTAGTACTATTATCCTTAACAATCTGGTAATTTTGCAACCTCGGACAAGATTCGGAACCTTGAAATATTAACAAAAATCAACAATTAGGACTTTTTGCAGTCGCAAAAAAATTAAAAAGTATTGAAAATTTTACAGAGCGATTTAAATAACTTCCCTAAGTAAATGCATATTTGCAACGCTCCAAGATTAGCGCAAATGATTGTTATTTGTCTATGGTCAATTTTAAATTGCGAAATTAAAACAAACGTGTTGCAAATCTAAGGAAGCAAGTAATATCGAATTTGTAACCTTATATACATGTTTATTTAAAATACACAAAACTTAAACATTGATTTTTAAACAAACAAATAAATAAATAATTTTTATAAATTTCATAAAATATAAAAGCGAATTGCTTCATTTCCACCAATTCCTTTAAATGCACTAATCTGAAACAAATAGGATTTTTTTTTAATAAATGTCCCAAATAAAGAAACATTTACGATTATTACAATCTGATCATTAAGATCAATTAGCAATTTTATTCTAACCTAATTTATCTAGGGATGAATAACTTCATAAACTAAGATTCTACCCACTAGTATACCTTAGAGTCTAATTATTTTGTTACACTACCGATAACGTATAACACTTAACCACACTATACTCTGCTTTGATCTAACATCTCTGAACTAACACAAAAGGCTTGGTTCTCTTGAGCCTTCTTATTAGATTGGAATTGTTGAGGAGCTGGATAATCTCAAGGTTTCCGTGTTGGAGTACTCGTTGTTGGTGACTACGCGCAAATTTTTGTATTGTATTTTCAACAGTCTTCACTTTAAGATCCCTATGAAGATCAGTCTTGCGGCAGTACCAGGGTGCATCGACGATGTTCCTTAATACTTCATTCTGGAAACATTGAATAACTTGGAGGGTACTTTTAATGGCTAATTGCTTCATTTCCACGAATTCCTTTAAATGCACTAATCTGAAACAAATTATAGGTAATTAAAAAGGATTTATACAAATTATTTAATTAACAATAGTTTTACTAATATTGTTTTAAATTAACTACAATAATACAAACAATACTCAAGTCTAAACATAGATCATGTGCCTAAACAAAACATGAAGGTTTCCCTTTTCAATCGGCTGTAGAACTAATAAATAAAACTGGTGTAGTACTGATCTCAATTTCTAAAGACCTATTTTGCTTCCCATATGATAACAGCACAACGCATAAATAACAAAAAAAAAGGAAATGGCAAAAACCGACAACTCAAATATATGTATAATTATTTAGAATATAGGGTTGTCTCTGGCTGGACAAGAAATAAATAACTAACTACGTATCCCATCTTCTTCATACAAATCAGAAATATGTTTATTAAGTGTTGGCTTTTTACAACATAACCCGTTTAGTAACCTTTTGTGTAATATATATATACCATGTTTCAGAAACATTTTCATTGAAATATTTAACTAAAATATTTTAGAAACTTGTGCTTCAAATGTTATATGTTTGAAACGTTTGAAATATTTCTGATACACTTCTGAAAGAAAGTGCATAAAAGAGGAATTATCCATGTATCCAAGTATGTTGAAAGGAAAGAACATACTCTTAATACCCTAACAAGACATCAAGCTCTCCAAAAATCAAACCACATTAAGTTTTCTTAAAATTTAATTGAAAATAAAACTGTAACTAGACTATTTTTCTACATGTTCAAGTTCAAATATTGTTATTAAAACAGTTGTTTATTATAAATTTTTTATAGATTGCAAAAAAGTTTTACCTACAATGCTTTATCTACTAATCTTATTTATTTTGAAAGCAATATTATAGTTATTAAAGCACATATCAAAGTTTTTTATAACTAATTATTTCGGAATAAAACTAAGAACGGGGTAAATTTCTCATTAACTTAACACCTTGAACAAGTGATAATAATTTTTAAATAAATTTCAAATGAAAACGGTCCTGTTATTATTTCAGAATATTATAAGTCAGCGGCAATTTTTTCTATTTATAACTTGTGCTATTTTCGCGCTAGACATTGCCTATACATCGTTTGAAGTTTCTAAAAATTCTTATAGTGCTTAAGTACAGATTTTGTGTTTTTCTACAAAAAAAATGGATGTGTCACCTGATGTGTGGGGTCAATTAGCCCTAGAAGCGTCTCAAGTTTATTTGACAGATGGTACAGCAGCAAAAAGTCCATTTGCTGGAACGGTATGGTTATTTTTAACTCGCTTCTTGCGTACTTATTTCAATAGATTTGTTTGTAATTTGCTAATGGGAAACATAAAATTTGGCGAATATTATTATTTGTATAAAACGAAAGAAAGTTGAATACGATGTTATTGGGACTAAAAAAATAAAGAAAAATTGTTCTCAGTCATAGGCGTACATGAAAAATATTTCTAGTAAGGCGCGCTTCCGACTACAAATTATGACAATTCTATTTTTTCTTGAGAATTTTTAGGACAATTTGGGAAAGTTATCTGGGTCAAATAAATTACTAGAAAATGTCTTATCCGAAAGTTTATGGTTATGAGTGAGTGAGTGAGTGAGTGAGTGAGTGAGTGAGTGAGTGAGTGAGTGAGTGAGTGAGTGAGTGAGTGAGTGAGTGAGTGAGTGAGTGAGTGAGTGAGTGAGTGAGTGAGTGAGTGAGTGAGTGAGTGAGTGAGTGAGTGAGTGAGTGAGTGAGTGAGTGAGTGAGTGAGTGAGTGAGTGAGTGAGTGAGTGAGTGAGTGAGTGAGTGAGTGAGTGAGTGAGTGAGTGAGTGAGTGAGTGAGTGAGTGAGTGAGTGAGTGAGTGAGTGAGTGAGTGAGTGAGTGAGTGAGTGAGTGAGTGAGTGAGTGAGTGAGTGAGTGAGTGAGTGAGTGAGTGAGTGAGTGAGTGAGTGAGTGAGTGAGTGAGTGAGTGAGTGAGTGAGTGAGTGAGTGAGTGAGTGAGTGAGTGAGTGAGTGAGTGAGTGAGTGAGTGAGTGAGTGAGTGAGTGAGTGAGTGAGTGAGTGAGTGAGTGAGTGAGTGAGTGAGTGAGTGAGTGAGTGAGTGAGTGAGTGAGTGAGTGAGTGAGTGAGTGAGTGAGTGAGTCTATCTACTTCAAGCTACTTTCTAAAGAAAAAACCTGTTAAATTTGTATAGTTTCATACAGGGTGTTAATATATTCGACAGACTTATATAAAAGGTTATTTTTTAAACTAAAAATTAATAAAGAATTAAAAAAATAATAAATAAAAAAATATGTTTGTTCCAGTGGCGTAAAAAATAGAGGAAAAAAGTTTCCACTAACCCTGATAGTGCGCCACTGGTTCACTTTTACAAAAGTTAGTTTATTTCAAAATATTACTTTTTTAAAAAGCATATTGGTCAACAAATTAAAAAAAAATTAATGACGTTTTTAATTTATGACAAATTTTGAATTTTGTTTTCAAACTTTTAATACCTTGTATCTCGATAACTAAGCCCTTTAATGGTTCATATTCCTATATCAAAATTCATCAATTAACGAGAACTCTCTGGGGTAGAACGTTGTCGGTCAAATATACAGTGAGCACCAAAAGTCTTACCCCCCCTATCTAACTCATTACTGGAGTCTTGTTAGGAAAATCGCCGAGACACATCGATTTTTGTTTTCTACAATGTACATTTTTGTGTAAATAGTTTACCCTTAATTTCATCCCTTACTGGAGGGGAGCAACCCTTTCGAAAAATTTAAATGGCATGGGGTGGTGAGTGAAAGCTCATTTGAAAGAGAGTTTTATTCTCTATTTAACCGTGTAAAAAATTTTAAAATTTGCTTCATTAATTCTCGACTAATTGTTGTTTCAGAATAACGGAAATTAACGTAGCGCACTCATCCTTAGAATTAAAATTCGGCCCTGCATGAGTTCGGTTTTGGTTCAGACGTGAAGTAAGACTTTTTGCCATTAGAAGGTCACTGTTAGTTTAGTTGCTTTCCTATTTTGTGAGGTTTTGTTATTTTTAAACATTAATAAATCAACAATAAATCAACAACGGTTGAATAGAGAATAAAACCCCCTTTCAAATGAGCTATCACTCACCACCCCATGCCATTTAAATTTTTCGAAAGGGTTGCTCCCCTCCAGTAAGGGATGAAATTAAGGGTAAACTAATCATACAAAAATGTACATTGTAGAAATCAAAAATCGACCTGTCTCGGCAATTTTCCTAACAAGACTCCAGTCATGAGTTAGATAGAGGGGGTAAGACTTATGGTGCTCACTGTATATACTAACACCCTGTGCATGGATGGTTGGAGGAAAAATATAAATTAGTAAATAACAAAAATTAATACTGGAAAATATTACTGGAGGACATTATATTATATTGTATGAGTTGTATTTTAGGTTACATTTTCTTAATTTTTCTTTCAGACAATAGAAAAGCTTCCAGATAAGGTCATTCTTCACATCTTCAGTTACCTAACACACAAAGAAATATGTCAAATGGCCAGAGTGAGTAAAAGATGGCGCCTAATTGCCTATGATACTAAACTTTGGAAAAACGTCTCTCTTCGTCCGGAAATTTCTGGTAATAATAATTAATGTACTTATTAAAGCTATGAGTAGTTCTTGCTGATATAGTATAGTCGATGCAGGATTCCTTTTTTTTTAATAATGTATAATGTATCTAGTTACTTGCTTCAAGCTGATTAGTAATTTTGTGTTAAAATTTATAGTGTGGCTAATGAATGGGTCTATTGGGCTAGTACAGTATTATAATTTTTATAAAAAGTAGTAGATTTTTTATAAAACAATAAAATTAATACTGACAGTAGGTAGTTGAAAAGAGATTACCTTCACATTTTACAGCATTTCAGATTGGGAAAACGAGACAATAAAACTGTAGGTATTTTCCCCCTAAGTAATTAAGTTCCTATTATTATTCAAAGCGGAAAACCACTAAGAAGATTTACTTACATATGCAGTAGACATCAGTATATTTATTTTATTCCTATATAAATTTGGTGAGCAATAACGTTAAAAGTTACATAGTTTTCGACAAAATATAGAAAACGTCAACTTTCAGTGTAAATTTTAAAGTTATTTAAAGTATAATAAAAAATCTTTACGTTCTTGAGCTAGCTTTTGGTAAAAATTTTAATTAATCTTATATTCATTGATGATGGTTAAGAACCATAGAAAAGCAACGCATTATCTATTATTTCATTATTTTGGGTTACTCGTTATACTCAAACGTTAGCTACTCTTAATAGACACGTTTAATAAGACGATTTGGGTAATCGATATTACAACTGTCTCTATTAAATTCATTCTTATTCAGCTGGTCAAAAATAAGTTGTATCGTCTCATCGCATTCCACAGCGATTCAGATGGATTCTGTTGTGGCTCATGTCTAATTTACAGTTCACCGTACAAGTCACCCCTTTTGATCAACTCCATAGTTAAATTAGGTGGTACCTGTTCGGTAGGCTCCAGTCGGGTAAATCCGAAGATCTGGAAGTGCTTTGCAAAACAGAGCAGGTATTCTGTGTTCTGCGGAATCGTCTTCCACGGTACAGAATCGACAGTCTGATGTTTGTTGCAGACCCATCCTTCTCAAGTGGTTACCAAGAAGACAATGTCCTGTTATCAGTTCCGGTTCTGAGCAGAAGCGTCCATTTTAAGATAATTTCTTTGACAGTTCTCGTTACAAAGCCCAGGATAGGTTCTGGTCCTGTGATATCAGATTCGGTTCCTTTTTTTGCGAGCCCGTCAGTTTTTTCATTACTTGTACGTCGCTTTGTGCCGGAACCCAGGTCAAAGTAACTTTGTTCCGGGCTTCGAGACACTCAAGGATATTTATAAAATTTCAAACCAGCTCGATTAGAGCCTGGCTATCCCAAAAGTCTTGTTAGCTGGGAGAAAATTAAGCAGCTCTCTCGCTCCCAATTCTATAACAATCATTTCTGCTTGGAAGTTCGTGTCCAAAGGTCCCTGTTTTATTGATATGTCAAATCTTGGCTTCTGGTCGAATACTTCCGCTCCTACTCCTTTTTCAGATTTGCAGCCACCCGTACACAGCGCATAGTCCTCCTGAGAGGCAGTTTTATCCCATCTTCTCCATACGTCTCACTCTGGAATAAGGACGTTGAATGATTTTTCTCTGCTCTCAGGGAACAAGAGAGTCTAAGACCATGTCAAGGATGTGGCGGTTATTAATCTCACTCATCAGCCCCGTCTTGTCCCATCGCAGTTCTTCAGTGCATAAACTACCCATCTTCAGGAATCTGTAGGAGACCATCCTGGCCTTCCTTTCCAGCAAAATGTGGAGAGGGGTTAGGCTTCCGTCGATGTGGTTTTGATTGCCCCAGTAATGGCGAGGTACGCAAGCTGCTGGATTCCATCCAGCTTTGCTCTAGCCGTTCAATGAAGTACCTTGTCCTACCCGATGACGGAGCTGTACGAATTAACAATAAATTAAATTACTACTAATACGGAACCCATTAAATCCTACAACGAATCATGCTAATTAATTAAAATATTGTAAATAAAATAATGCTCATGTTTTTATGACTCAGGATTATTACTCGTATATTTTAGGAAATCTAAACATATTAAGAAATTGAGATTTAAAAACATTATATAGTACAAACGGTTAAAACAGGTTAAAGATGATATAATAAATGTAATGTCCTTAAGTACTATTTACGTTCCTGAATTGACTTTCAGGTATTTTTTTACCACAAGCTACACATTTATGGATATCTGTATCTGTAACATGTGAAGGGTGGGACCACCACGGCACTTGGTCGTCACTAGGCCCATTGTGCATCCTCCTAAGATAATAGGTACTTCCTATCTCGTGAGCCAGCCTACATATTTAATGTAGTTGACAACGTCACCAAAAGGTGCTTCTGTTATATCGGCCGGTGTTAGCCGATACTCGCCAAACACAAATATTCTAATCAATGAGGGCGTCGAGTAATCGTAAAGGATATGCTCAATGGTCTCATCTTCTTGTTACATTTATGGATAATTTTTCAGCTTGTCACACCAGATTACACTAAAAATCAAACACAAAATCACCACAATACTTAGACTAGGTAATAAAGAGAGGACTCATAATGCCGCTGAAAATCTTGTTCCATTCTGACACCAACGATATTCGACCAAAGGCATAACATGGAAATAAAAAAATGAACTTGTATTTATGTTAATAATACTTTATTGATCTTTTTAGGTATAAAACAAGTTCAAAGCGTAAAATTTAAAATAAATAAGTAACAATAAGACACAAGAAAAAAAATATATTGGAATAAACCGAATGAAATCGTTTACATAATAAAATGAGTGTTTTTTTAAATTCCCTAAAATAAAACATGTATTATAAAAAGATTTGTTTTTAGTTAATAAAGAATGACACTCCCAGATAGCACAGACACATTGTAAAGACATTTGTTTACGACGTTCGTGACCTTTTGAAGATATACGCTAATATCCAAAAGATGTTTTAAAGTCATCTAAGACATCCAATTTTGTACTTCTTTAAGACATCCAGTTTTGTACGTCTTCAAGATAAACCGTATTAGACGTGTAAGAGCGATATCCATGCAACACCTAACAGCAAATTCAGATTTAGAACACACTGACAACTTTCAATGCATCTGAACCCACTTTGGCAACGTTGCTCTATTCCCAGGCTTACGCTCCCTTCAATTTATTACTTATAAACTATAGATGATTTAAAATATTAAAAATGCCGATAAATCGCAGGTCCGGTCTAACAAAGAGTATTTCTGTTTTGTTTTCTCGTTTAAAATATTTTTTAAAGGCATAACCTGGTGTAACATTTTCGAAAATTTTTTTTTATAACTAATTTATTTATTTACGAAATATATTTTTAAATATACATATGTACCTATTTCTACATTTTCTTATATACAGGGTGTTTGTTGGTAAGTGTGAATGATTTTAGGGAATGTTTGCCGAAGTTATTTTATAAAAAAAACATAGATCGAAAAAGTCAGTGGCGCAGTACTTTTTTATTAACAAAGTGGCATTCTCGCACAAACGCCACTGGTACAAGTAGAAATATTTGGAACACCCCAAAAAATACACATTTGCCCCTTCAAAGTTTTTTTTGCAAATTTAGAGTAAATATCTTTAAAACTATTAAAAATAATTAATAAAATTTAATAAATTAAAATTTAAACATTCTGTATCTCGGAAACGAAGCATATTTCGACCTACTTTTATAGGAACTTTTTTTAACAAAATAACTTTGATAACAATTTGCAAAAATCGTTCGTACTTATTTACAAATACCCTGTATAAAAATACGTTTTTTAAATAATAACCCATTTGATACTAGTTTGTGCAACAACAGTGGACAATCCACTGGAGTTGTACAGTATGTTTTTTTCTACGACCCACTAACGAAAATCTACAAATTTAAAGTATTATTTTAGGAAAAGACAAAATAATTAATTTTAAAATAATTTATGACTTTACTAATTTGTGAAATAAAATAAACATGAAAAAAAATTTCATTTAATTAGTCCCCAGCCCAGATTTGAACTCGGGCCTCTCGAGTGAAAGACAGATGCCGTATCATTATTTTCACCTCCACATTTAAAATTTTAGTTCTAAAAGTAGTAATTAAATTAGTTTCATATAGGTAGTTTAATTCAAATTTAGGATTTTTTAAATTGTGGTCTAAATTAAAATTATTTATGAATCCTACGCAAAAATAACTCATTTTAATGTATATTTAATCTCAATTCCTAAAAAATATACTGACAATTAGTTTGACAGAATTGTCACTTATTTAAAATTTTAAAAATAATAGTTGTTGGGTGTCCAATATATAAACTGTGATTGGTAGATTTCATTTTTTTGCAGTGTTCTCACTACCCAGAATGGATATGAAATATATTCGTTGAGTTGAACGCAATAGTATATTTTTTCGTTTTGTATAGTCTGTGCGTGAATAGTAGTTTGTGCAACAAAATTGGATATGATGGCCATATCGCACGAAGACGAAGTTTCAGAACGACGCCGTAGACGGAGTGCTTAATCATCTGAGTGCGATACAGACAATCCACTCGAGTTGTACAGTATATTTTTTCTACGACACCCTAACGAAATTCTACAAATTTAAAAAAGTAATTTATTAAGACAAAATAAATAATTTTAAAATAATGTATGACTTTTAATAATTTATAAAATAAAATAAACATACAAAAAGATTTAATTTAATTAGTCCCCACCCATGATTGGAACTCGGGTCTCTCGCTTGGAGACAAACTCCGTGCCGTCGCCACACTTGCCATTATAGTTTTAATACTTGTAATTAAATTAGTTTTATATGGTTTGATTAAAATTTAAGATTTGTTTATAAATTTGGACGAAATAAAAATAGAAATTCTATTACTTATCGATTATACATAATAAATATTCATTTTTACGTATATTTAATCTCAATAATTCAAAAATATACTGACAGTTAGTTTGACTACATAAAATTTAAAAAATAATAGTAGCCGGGTGACCAATATATAATCTGATTGGTGGATTTAACTGTTTTGC